AGGCTGTGATACGTTTTATGTCATCGTGAATGAATCATGCGTTTGAACCAGCGGATACGAGGTATATTGAACTGCGTTTCATGTGATTCATACCCATGATTCGGATGATTTGTGTCTGCTTAAAGCACATGATTCGAACAGGATGGGGTGGTACAGCAGCCCCTGGGGGCATTTATATTTTAACAGACAGATTACATTCAAGATAAACGCGACAACCACGCATGATAATTAATTTAAAACATTCTCACCTTTGCAACGAAAGATTCACTGCTCTCTATGAGTGCACTGTCAACCCATGTAATCTCTGTGTTACCTTGAAGGTTTGGTAATTAATTCAATCCAGTATCAAGGTTGTTTTCTTCAGGCGAACGCCGGTTACTCTCACCTCTGTGGTTAACATAATTAAGTCCAAAGTGGTTAACAGTGGGGATACAATGGAAGACCGCAATCGAATTAACATTGTCCAATTTCTGTCTTTGTCGTGATAAATGAACTTAAAATAAATGAAACGATGGGTCTAAGTTGCAGGTATGTGCTAAGATGGACCATGCCTAACGGCCGAGGTTGAACACACGGATGCGAGGTATTGCATATTTCTTCCAGTTCATTATCGGATAATATCTCATAATTATCGAACTATAGATCAAACCGAATGAAGTTTCAAGCTATCTGATATCGATAGTTCCCGGCCTCAGAAATGTTGACTTGACCCATTTATGGAATCGAAAAAAGAAAAAAAAGTCCCACTCACTTGAGTATTATATGGATCAGATAAAATCTAAACACGTGCGAGTAATGTCTGGAATAATGGTATTGACAATGGGAATAGTGGCCCATGGTTCTTTGCTAAATCAGTGGTCACAGATAACGGAGAATGTTCACTACAAAAATGATTTGGTTAAATTGAAAGAGAATGCTATAATAAAATTCGGGGTTGTAGCTGTCATATTATAGGTGGAGGTTTGTGACCAGAGGTCATCACATTAATGATGGGATATTATGAACAGAAGAGTATATTTAAAATGAATTGATCAGAAAGTCGCGTGAAAATAGAAGCTGGTTTGTTAGATGAGAGCTTAAAGAAACTACATTTCAGTCGAATAGAAGTAGGGATGGAAACTGTATTCTTTTCTTCACTACTGTAGCAACTAATTTTAATTTGATTGTAGAAACTAATAGAATGGAAAACACCTAATGAGTTTAAACTCAATGTCAATGTAATTGCCAATAGTTTACGTAAAATGTTTGTCGAAAAATGGAAACTGCAACATATTCTGTATATTTACAACATGAAAGTTATGCTAAAATTGACAAGTACAGCGAAGATCGACGGTCAAATACGCGACCTTGTATCGAACATGTTAAACAATGTGCATGTTAACTGGAAACATATTTTGTTTTGATCACACATCCAATTTTATCAGATACATCGATTGCTGGAATTAACAATAAACTTAGCACTGAACCAATGTGCTGTCGTTATGGTGCTGTTATGCAACTTTCTGAGATTGGCACTAACATTGTGTCACCTTTATTCACAACAACGGATAACAGGTTACACGAGTTATCGTGAATGCATTGCCCGAAAACCCAACTTTCCAGCTAAAATTCATTCCTAACTTTCCAACTAAATAACTTACTATACCGTATGCAGGGCCTTATCAAACTTGGCAATGAAACTTTCCAAACAAATACTTCTCAACTCATACAGAGCCCTACCAAAATTGGCAACCAAACTTTTCAACTACATTTCTAACTTGTACATGTCCCTGTATTTAACGTTCGTAACAAGCTGTACATTTGGCCATTGAGAAAGTCGAAGACAGAAGCTAACTTCTCGGATTTGGGCTTCGACTTATTCACTTGCATGTATTTGTTAAATCATTACCAGTTACATGGACTGTGTCTCATATTCACTCTGTATTGAACAATGCAATGTGTTCACAATACACAAAACAAAACAGCATAAGACAAACACTAACCTTTGGGGATTGTGCTTAAAGAAACAACCTTTCATCATATCGAGAATATATCTGTATATACACTATTTGTCATTACATCGAGAATATATCTGTATATACACTATTTGCCATCACATCTAGAATATATCTGTATATACACTATTTGCCATCATATTTAGAATATATCTGTATATATACACTATTTGCCATCACATCTAGAATATATCTGTATATATACACTATTTGCCATCACATCTAGAATATATCTGTATACATACACTATTTGCCATCACATCTAGAATATATCTGTATATATACACTATTTGCCATCACATCTAGAATATATCTGTATATATACACTATTTGCCATCACATCTAGAATATATCTGTATATATACACTATTTGTCATCACATCTAGAATATAACTATATGTATACACTATTTGTCATTACATCTAGAATATATCTGTATATATACACTATTTGTCATTATATCTAGAATATATCTGCATATATACACTATTTGTCATT